GCAGGCCCGTCACAGGCGCCTACATGCAAGCCCTTCACCTAGAGGCTCGCTTAAGTTGACTACATGCAATTACTACTGCTAGGGCGTCAGATCGAAGCCAGTCGTGGGGCCAAGGAAAAGACAGAGACAGACCATTGCATCTGCATAACTTTTCATAACATTGCTTGAATCTTGTTGGTGTTGCGAAAGGTCTCAACTCGCTCCAGGTGGAATATCGCTCCAAGATCCGTTCGGCCACCACGTTCCTGCATGCGTGAAATCCGAATAAGAAACGCTGCCGAAAGGTATGTAGTTGATGAATCCGAATCGAAAGAACTCCGGATGTGCCGAATCCTGCCTCGTCCAAGTGAATGAGGTATCCCCCTCCTGATGAGACCCGCGGAAGCGCTCCACATCGTTCACTAGAACACTAACTCCTTCATATCCCTTTGCTAGGCCAGTCCAGGCAAATGTGATGTTGGTCGCGTTGATGATCGGTGTCGTTATATTGGGTACAACCGTCCCAAGTTGCGCGTCGCCTCTGAGCGCTGCAGCTGTTTGAAGAATTGACGCAAACCCCCACCTAGCAATGCCATTTATGAACAAACCTACCAACAATCCTTGACAAAGAAGGCTCGGCCTTGTCTGTAAAGATGTTCCGGGAAGTAGCAGTAATGCCAGAATGTAGTGGTGGATGCGCAGTTGTAAGCCAGGAACAGCCAGAAGAATGCATAGCCCAATCCCAAGGGTGGCATATAGCGCCAGATAGCGAGGAAGTCTTCCTTCCCTCCTGAAACACCATGCTTGATAGATGGCGACACCTGCTATAACGAGCACAAGGATCACGAGCGCTGTGATTGCTCCAGGTTGTTGGTGAATATCGTGGGAGGTAAGCCGCTGAAGAGGGATCAATTCGAGCGTAACGTTGCTCATCGCTCCCACCCAACAACCTCCAATCCACAGTACTGTCTTCTCAATCTGAGCAGTTAACTTCCGTAGTGTCTTCCGTATGGTAAAACGATAGATTACCGTGGCGACGAATGCAGCAGGAAGAAAACTCGCCAAGGCCCCAGATGCTAAAGATGGAGAAGTCCGTAAAGTAAGGTGGGTCAGAGGCCATCGCGATCTGGAAATAAACAATGATAAATACTGGAACAAAAAAATATGCTGGACTGGTCGTGAAGAGTGAGAATGTGGATGTGAAGATGGTAGAGAGTATAAGAAGGTCCCAACGGGGATCGCCACACGTCTCAGCGGCGCGAACTACCCTGTCAGACTGATCAAAGTCGAAAGACATGGGAAAGCTCGAATTGAAGCCTACACTTTGAATACCGTGACTAGCTGCGGAGCCGTAGCTGCTTTGCTCTCCAATCAGAGAAAGCACTCCACAGCCGCCACGGCTATCCTTTACGATACCGGCGTGAATCGCAGCACCGCATATGAACGAATCACCACGGTAAACGAACTCGCTCGATTCTGTCGCATTTGGTGTCCCTCCTACGACTAGCGACTGGTATATGATCTGAGTGTCGCCAATGGTATAGGGATTCAAAACTTCGACGCCGGCACAATCGGATGGGCAAAAAAAGGAGAAAGCCGTATCGTCGAATGGAAGGCAGTTGGTACCATCGAGTCCGCAGGATTGGGAACTGTACCTTCAAAGGGGTTTTAGTAGGGGCCCATTGCAATCATCCCAGAGATTACTGACCATAATTTGGAAGTGCAAGCGAGTCTAACCGGTGCACCAACCCCTCCAATGTCAGAGGGAAGCCCACGTTTTGATATCAAGACCCCGAACAATACCAACCAAAGCATGAAAGCGCAGAGGTAGATAGTGACCCGGGCGAGCTTTGGTAAGCGAGAGAGCAGACGCGTAGGAAATGTCTGTATGCGCTCGAAAAAGGGCTGTATACGGTAAGGAACGGGTGGCTCGGGGCCCTTGATCCATTCAATCGCTTTGCGCGTCCACCGCACCATGCGCCGCGGAAGTTTTTCTTCCACCTTCCTCCATTTTGATCCTACATATGACCAGTTGTGATAAGGATTGGCATCGGCATATTCGAGGCTCTGCCGTGGCGCTGGTGATGCCGGTTGCAAATTATTATCTTCGATCCCAGGGAGTGAGCTAACGCTCGGTGTTGCATCGTTCCCATTCTCCAGGTCCTCCTGCTTCGACTGCGGGCGGCTCGGAGCCATGATTCAACGCTTTGGTATGGATGCTAGAGGCATGGAAACGAGTGTACAGGGCAGCGGCGAAGCAACTGAAACGGGGCGGTCAGAGGGAGTCATAACGAATATAGGGATTCGCACGAGTTACATGTAAGCGCACTTGGAGGCCTTGGGGTCTCGGGAGTCCGCATCATCGAACGGCCAGGATGGCACGGACCTTCTCGATACTCAGCAATGTGTGTTTCCAGCACCTCTCACTCAACAAGCTTCTGGGTTCTCGGTAAGGCATCTCGATTGAGATCGCGAGTCTACATTGTTCAGAGCGTCGACTAGTGATACAAATAACCCGTAAAGCTCGGAATTCCAAGGAGATGCACACGACTCACCTAAGGCCTGCAGACTCGAGAGTTCTCAGCAATCCTGATGATTGCTAGGTGATCTTAACTTCAATCATGCCGGTGTTGTCTTGTCATGGCTGTCTATTACTTCGGTCAGCGCCGATAATAGCTTATCTGATCCAGCGCCCATTGAACAGGGTAGTAGCTGAATTTCTTTCTATCGTTCAGTGTCGCTCTCACTTAAAGACCCGCAGGTGTTAGGGTGATATATTCTTGTATATCATGTTGTAACCGCATGGTCGACATCAAAGACATCCTTGATGCGCGCTACAATGTCTTTGATCGGTAACGATCAAACGAGTCGAGGACGGCATCAACCGAGAATGTCTTCTCTTTTCCGCTATCAATGGAACCTGGAATGTCACGGGCTCTTCTTCCCACTTGGAAAAAGGTGAGAGGCTGTCATACAAACACCAAGTGAGTCTTGTTAATTACCTGTCAATCTCTTCTAACATGCACCGCTGCAGGTGCAATCATAGGCCTAATCCCTAATGTTCGATTGTGCTCACTGCTATTGCGTATCTTGATCCTCTGCTATTATCGGCGACTATCCCAATATCTCTCGCCAGCCTTTGTCGCCTAATCCAAGATCCTGAACTGCTACTGTCTGTTCTTTTCAGTTCAATCTTGAGGATGTGGCTATTCATGGGCAGTCTTCGAAATATACACTTCCAGCTGCCCAAGTTGATTGCGAATCTCACCATGCGAGGAAGGTCGCGAATCCTACAGCAGGCGATGAGCCATCCAAGGAAAGGATGACACGAGTTCTCTCTACGGCTTTTGGGCGCCAGAAACGACTATCCAAGAGCGAATTCACCTAACTTGACACAACACAAGCTGGGAGTCTTCGCGGACTCCAGGGAATACGATGACCCATCGTCAAACATGAGAACCCTAAAATCCTAAGAATGTAAGTCATCATGTTCCCCGTTCCGAAGGCGGCTTGCTTCCCGCTTCAATGAACAAATAAGCCTTTCACAAGTGGGAATTCCTTCTCACAACGTCCAGAGTTCTGACCATTTCATAGTCACTAAACGTTAAGGAATATCAGATACTTCATCAAGAAAGGCCGAACTTTGGAACGCTATCTGAATCAACTTCATCAGCTCCATGTCATGATCATCATCCGCCAAACAGCCCTTGAGGACCGTCGACATCGTGTCCAATCCGGATGTACTTTGCCAGTATCGAACTAGAGTTCAGTCCTCCACAGCCAATGATACTAAGGACTTGAGCCATCACGTTCACCCTCTGCGAACATTCTTTTCCGGATGTTGGGTGATATCTCGCTCCAACTCATGGCTGAGATATTTTCACACTATGGTCGTTGGTGCTATTGCGGAGTGTGCTCGTGAAACCAGTGAATACCTAGGATTACTTCAGCTACTGCAACAAGACTATCACAAAAGAATTTCCTTTTGGACTTCCAAGCTGCGAATTTACTAGAAGGAGAACCACACACTCTGCCTCCGGAACCAACTTGTCATGCCCACTGGTCGATAATATGGCAGAGGTAGCGTTTTTGCTATGGCGCTCAAGTATGGGGAGCAAGCCTCTGGGGGTGGGAGTTACCTAGACCCAGAGGCTGCATGTGTATCAGCGATCGACCTGACCACGTCATACTGCATTTCAGAAACTCACTTGCCTTACACGGATGGCAAACTCACCTTTGTGGCCTCTTTGTCTTGTGGCCGGCACAGTCCCGCGCGCTGAAGGCGGGTCTTCGATATCTCAAGTTAGCGTATGTGAGGATCGGGTGTCGCAGTCTACGGCAATCAAGATCTTATTGTCAAGTACACTTCGAAGATGTTAGAAGTTGGAGGCAGAGCCTATCATACTCGCGCCGAGAGAGGACGAAGGGGAGTTGGAACTGGATATGTGAATACTCCGATCACCGCACTTTGAACCTCCCTTGGATCTATAGGGGACGAGCGATTCTAGTGCACTATGTAGTAGATTAGCTGAACCCAACAAATGACGGACAACCTATCCCTAAATCTCCGTGGCTTTGTTGGAGTGTTTAGAGGGCAACATTGAATGGATGTATGCAGGCTTCCATTCGAACTTTGGCGGGAACTTCAATGGTCTGTATGGCTGCATCATCTCCTTGGATATGATTTCATTGCCTGCCGCTCCACGATAGAGAAAACGCCGAAAATTCTTGGTAGTGCAACAATTAGAACGGGAACAAGATTGATCTTGGGTACCCTAGGTACTGATAAGTTCTTCTCGACATGGAAAAAGCTCTTCGTTGGGAAGCATTCCTCTGTGTAACGACGACACCAGCGAATATCATAGAAAATGCACTCCACTTCTATCATGTACTGTGTGTTAAGATTAGGCACTGTCTATAGACCTCCCGTTCTTCCCTTTATTCGACTTTTGACAGAGACACCCCCCCTCCCCAATTAGCAGGAAAATGTAACTTAGCATAAAACATCAAGCAAAAGGACATTCCGATACAGGGAGTTGAACCCTGGCCTCCCGAGCATACCATCCACTGCCGCCACCAACGGTGATGAGAATCGGGAATCCTGACCGCTGGACCATATCGGATGAGACACATTGCTGAGTTGTAGGATAGTATTGAACGAAGGCTGGAACCAAGACTTCTCTGAAGCCAAACCCGTGTGATGGTTTTACGTTAGGGCAGTGCGGCGTTGGCATTCGGAGGGGAGGAGTGGAGTATAAGGTGCAAGGCAAACGACTGGTGGAGCAGCGGTCTGAATATGAACCGAGAGCAGAGCGGTGTCTTTCGGTTGGTCGGACGACATGGTGGTTCAGTCATAGCACAATAATATGTACTATACCTTAGAGCACGTTGATGTCGGTAAGGTTGAGAGATGAATAGAGAGTAGGTACTCGAATCGCGTGAATAATGCTTTGGAGCAAGAAGTACGATCAATTATATTCGAACATGACATTATATTCTGCCTGAATATCTACATACTGGTATCTAGCTTTGTCTATAGTGTGTGCTTGAAGCCCAGTGGCTATGATAGAATTGATCTAGGGTGAGCGGTAGAAATTGTGTACGAACACAAAAATCTTCGGTCCCTCTAGCGTCAATGACAGGATATCTTTGCAAATGGGAGATGCTGCACTTCCTGTAAGCCTGCTCATGTAGGGTCAGGAATGGAAGATACCGGGTATCGTTGAAGTACGTGTCCCATAATCTTTAGCTCAAAAAAGGAAGCTGCAGAGAAGACCGTTTGTTAGATGCGACAGCTTGTATCACCAGAGTGAGACCCTCTCCCAACTGTTCAAACAGCAGGTCGAGATTTTGCTCCAGCCTTATTTCCGTGAGGACAAGGAGCTGGCACATGCCGTTCGCTATGAATCTTGCACAAAAAATTGCTCACTGAGAACTTGACTGACTGCCTACATAGATGACCAGAGTATTTGTCGTATGCCTATGAGCCCGCCTCAGCTAGTCAAAGGAAGGTTCGAAGTAAAGATGCAGGTGCACCAATCTTTCATGGCTCTTTCAGGGGCGTGGTCTTGTTACCGAGAGAAGCTTGGGCGAAATAGTGATTCTACATCAACGGAAGAGTCCTTCAGCCGTTGCTATGCATGGCGTTTCGGAGAGCATGTTTTCGTTGGAAAGACGTGGCTCAACTGATTTGGAGGCTACCCCTATGGTAACGTGGTGGGAATCTGGAACAGTGACGTAGCTGGGAGAACAAACGCTTGGGGGCTTCGGATGCATTGTCATACGATGCCTTCGATGCAGCAACGTCCTCGGTGGTCTAGGCCTTGCTTGCGGCTGCTCAATGCATACACCATGGCCCTTCTCGTGATCATTAAGGGTGGCTAGTGGACAGCCTATGCGAGGATCGAGAATGAATATGAAACGAATATAGGAAAAGGTACTGGACAGTAAGAGACAATACTGCATCAAATCTAGAACCTACCATGTGGCTCTCTGCATGTTACCCCTGCAGATCCGGTGTGACAAGCATGAGGCCAGGGGCCAAGGCTGACATCGGTGGTCAGAAGAAAGTCCACCAGACATCCAAGTAATATATGGGCCGTGAGCTTCGAAAGCCCAGTCCAGTGCATCGAAAGACAACGTCTCCTTTAGTAGTTCCTTTGTTGTCGTGAACTACCTGAACAAGAGGTAGACTGGAGCGGTCCAATCCCAATGTGCGACGAGGATGAAGTTCAACACGCTATACAGGATATCACAGCATGCTTGGTTCGACTCCACTTGCTCAAAGCTCTGAGCACGCTCATGATGAGCGCCTCGCGGCACATTGAGCAACCCAGACGGCACACATCTCTTGGGTGGCTTAGAGTGGAGGGCCTAGACCACCTCGCTGCAGTCAAGCACTTGAGGCTTCTTAACGCCCCTGCACTCCATGCGCACCATGCGCACCGCTCTGACCATATCGACTGCTGTGAGCCGTCACGCAGAGACTATGAAAGAACAGGTAGCATCCCTGCTTATGGGGCGGGCAGTTGTTGGGGGTTGAGAAAGGCTTGGTCCAGAACCGTTGCCAAGGCTTTTTAGATCCATGCGGAGCTAAGCACCCATTTCATCGTCATTGACTTGTGCGTCCTTTCCTGCTGGTCATCGCTTCTGTTTGAGACTCTTCGAGAAAGAATCAGCGGCAATAAGGCGTTCGGAGGGGAGCATTGGGTGTTGACACTGTTGAGTTATTTTGGGGTCGTGGTACGTTGGAAAGGGAACTGTCAAGCTGATTGTTGGTGTGGTTGCCAATATCTATGGTGACGTTTGGACCGGGTCGACGTGAAACGTGAGAAACATGGTTGGTTCCATTTGATGCTTGTTCGGATATCGGGGATCGCTTGAGAGGTCACAGGTCCAAGACCGGGATGGCCAGAAGGCCACATGCAAGTGGTTCTCTCGAGAAAGTTAGCAACCATTTCCGTCTAACAGGCTCTTCCAGGTGGTGGAGGTTGGTCTTCGCGGAGAGTCCGGAGTGATTGGACCCATTCTGTGGACTCATCTGGATGTCAATACCCCAGGCAAATGTGAAGAATAAGCACTTGAGAGGTAAAGCGAGGGTTGGTGTTCGTTGGCGTGGAATTAACTGCGACCGGTTGTGGAGGAACCACAAGGGGCATACAGACACAGACGCGATACAATAGGAGTATGCGCGCATATGTATACTCAAGCTCTGTCCGCGCACTACTGGCTGTACGAACGTGATCGTCTTCAGGAGGTTCGCGACGATACGAGTGAGATTCACGATGGTGTACGGGTCCCGTCTGGGCACTACTCGGTAGGTAAAGATCGACGACATGTGCCAAAAGCGTGCTGCACATCTTCCCCTGGCCGGGTTTAAACACCGTGCGAGATCCGATGCTGAAGAATCAATTCGGTAGGATCTGCACTGCAACTACCACATGTAACAGAAGGCTACGGAAATGCGATCTACGCAAGCGAATCGCGACACTTGGCGAGATACTCCAGGGGCGCATTTGAAGTGTCCAACACTAACAGGGTCCATGCAACGTTACCTTGCCGTAAGACGTACACATGATGCCTCAGATAGTTGTGGACGTTGGGTATGGCGTCTAGACTGTCCACGGGCATGAGTGGAGCGGGCTCGGCGGATCGCAGGCGGCCTTCGCTTCCATAAGTTTACTACTGGAACCAACGGCAAGCCACATACTAGAGTAGACCCCGAGTTGATGCTATACAATACTTAATTCGTCCCATTATTTCCGGTCAGCGAACAAGTAGTCGCCTATCAGGTAACTTGGCATTGTTGGAGGAGCGTGTCGAAGGTCGCAGAGCAACATCAAAGCCTGTTGTCGGGATCACGAATCGCAGTCCATAGCGAAAGGGCTAAAATCATTTGGAGGTTGCAGGAGGAGAAGGCTCCTGTGTTTGAGTGAACAGAAGCCCACCGGACAACGTACAACTCTACGTTGTACGGGGTACGGAGTACATGGTTCTGTGTTGTTCATTTCGAATGCCATCAGGGTATGGTCAAACGAACACCCACGATGCCAGCCCTGCCGCATCCCAGCCGCCGCTGACGTATAGCCAAGGCCAATGTAAGACCTGGTACGCTCTCAACCTCCGAGCGTTCGGCAGTGCTTTTGTAATCCCGTTCACGCCGTAACGGTTTGGTATACATAACGCGGGTATCTCCCATCTCCCAGAAGTAATCGCAAAGGTATGCTTGTGATAATGTTGTTCCCGACCGAAACGAATCCAATCGATCTCGGTCCTGTGCGGTCTATGGAGAACCAGATGCTGTACGTCGGTGGATGTTGTGGTTGAAGCTGGCTCGAGGCGGGCAGGCAACTTTAGTCTAGCGCCTGCGGGATCCGTACCAGGGTGTGAATTCTAGACCGAGGGCCCAAGCGTGATCCACGCAAGCTGCCAGTGAGATGCCGAAGTAAGCGTGTGTCAGGGTTCGCAGGATAGCCCTCCAGACACCGACACTTCTGCTCCGAAAGCTCAACGCCGAGAGTTTGCGTCTGCAGCACCAGGACAGTAAGTGAGCCTGCTGCTGCCAATGGAAGGTAGCGAGGAGCTGCGACGCAGATACTCCACGGTGAGCACCTGCATATGCGCTGGTCGTCTGCGCTTTGTCTCCACCAGCAGGGCTGGTAGAAAGGCGAGCAAGCGCAAAGGCCCCCAGCATCTGGGACCGCGTTCTAGATCTTCTTGGGGCGGCTTCACGGCCAGCCCTCCTGATGTGCGACTGCAGCAGTCAAACCAACCAGAGCGCCAGCTCCTCTTCATCCCTCGCATTCCTCTCTTCAACCTGCACACCGACTGCTCAAGTGCATTCCACACCCCGCCATCCGAACGTCTGCATCACCACGATCGTTAGTCATCCGTCTCCGAATGCGACCGGTTTAACGCTTGGTTTCGTGCTTCCGAGGTAGTCAGCCAACTGTCCGCAGGACCTGCTTGTCGCAATCTACGTGTCTGCCTGCAATCAGCTCTGTCGCATTCCTGGATTAATCCGGGCGTGGCAAGCAGACTCTGGACCACATCAGACCACTACACTTGCACCTCCAGAGATCCACCCTGCACGCTGGAGCCTCTTCTCCAACGTCGACTGTATGAGGAGTTGAGAGATGGGGGACCTTGTTGCAAGCCCTAACACTGATCCTCCTGATATAATCGAGCGCCAGTCGCTGTGTTTTTCACGTCCAGAGCCAGGCATGGTGGTGCACAGCGGTGACGAAGGATTCAGGCAAGAACTGTTACGACTTTACTCACCAGCCGAAAGTAACGCTGCGGAGGAGCTTGTCAAACTCAAAGACAAACTAAGGAACGCCGCTTCGGATTTATTCTGGCCCTTATTGACAGAAGGACTGGCCACTATCGCTGACGCTCAGTATGCTTTCGTATCGAAGCGAATCCTGGCGGACGACCACGACAGTGCGATCGAGATGCCGCCTATTGGGGAGCGAGGGGCCTGCTTGATGGGAGCTGCGTTCTTTTTGAACGATGGCCATGGTGTCAAGAAACAGCTACGCGATTTCAAGTATCACGCGTATTCCTGCCCGTGCGCGTATATGAGACATGATAAGATATTCATCATCCCGGAGAAGCTTAACGA